AACTACGCTCCACCAACTCCTTTCGAGGATCTTTCTCGAATAGCTAGACTAGCTCCGACTTTTGGCAGCTATGTATCACTAATTAATTTAACCTTTTATTTTCCTAATTAAAAAAATTAGCATTTTTTATCTGAGTGCACACGGGTGTTAAGTTTAAATTAATTTAATTAATTAATCTTAATTAAATTGTGATTGCCGTCCAACGACTCCAGGTTCACGTGAGGATATCCATAGGTATACTCCCTAGCGTTCCAACACCGTGGGCAGGTAATATANTTATATTTTTCTTTAGTTCTTGATTTTGTCATCATTCTCGGATTCACGAATCCGAAACGCTTTTAAACATAGGAAGGAAGGTAGTAATATAACTAGTAGGCTGAACTATTATTATGATTAAAGATAAATCACTCTTTGTAGTACCAAAACATAGATCGATTATTTCACACTACATAGGCACATTATTATACCTACTCCTTTATGTTTCATTCTTTGTAGGTGATTATCCTATAATTTTAAATATATATGTATTCTATTTCTATACTTAGTGTCCTTAGTCTACTACTATCCCCCTAACCATGACTCTCTTTATATTTTACCTGGTTTAAACCTCTTTTAACTCCTCTTATTTGTCCCCGCTTTTTTTATTTTTCCTATTATTTTTATTACTATAGGATATAAATTTCGTTATGATCTTAATCCGTATTTCATTCTACAATGATATTTAAGAGATGTCTGAAATGAAGTCTCTAAGTTTAATCGTGAGATATGACCATAAATCAAGGGACGTAAATGTTATTATATGTTTAGGTATTCGACAATGCAATTCAATGCGAATCTTCAAAATTAAGTGTAATTCAGTGGAATTGTTTTTTTGTAATCTTTAAACTGTTAGTTTAACTAACTATTTATTAAAAATTCCAACTCTAAGTTATAATTTTATACTTATTCTAAATAAAGAATTAACATAAAAATTTAAACAAAATACTTACATTTGTTCAATTCCAGATTAATAGAGGCTATGAGAAGCAATAAAAATGATAAAAAAAATAAACGTAAAATGAAAAAAAAAAAAAAAAAGACTAAAAAAGATGTAAGAGGTTAAGAGAATTGTAGAACTGCCAGTGAATGCAAGAGACTTGAGAGATCGAATCAATTGACGAGAATGAGTTATGACGAGAAAGACCAACACCAAATATTTAGGATGAAGGTAAAGGAGAAGTTGAAGAAAAAACTACACAAATCGTACAGTAATATAATTTCAACTAAATAAAATAAAATAAATATATATTTAAATGTTAGTATTATGGTATAATTATTATAATAACTTCCCAGAATTATGAACCCATATTTCACACATAATAATAACTACAGTTATATTATTACAATCATTACAATCCACTTTGAGAGACAGAAGTAATAATTA